CGACGTCCATTACAAAAAGAGGGGGCGGCCATCTGACGATCTTTCTATATATATATATATCGTCGAACAGATCTGCCTGCGGTAAACCGTAGGGGCAGAGAGGGAGAAGAGGGAGAAGAGGGAGAGGGAGAAGGAGAAGAGGACAACAAACGAGGGAGAGGCTGTGACAAACTGTTGCGTCGGAGTTTCACCTACCGAGTCATGTGGAATGCATCATCTATCTATGCCATAGCCATATTATAGATCTATTACTCCCCACCAATGATGTTTAAAAAAAAAAAAAAAAAGATCTATTGCGACTGCCGCCGTCTGTACTGAAGGGTGTCCAACATAAATTTTCGTCATTGTACACATCCCTATCGCCCATCTAAATACGTTGTCCCTTTTGTGCCCAAGGACGCTATCAGAACTGTATGATGCCGCACTGTGATGAACTTCCTGCTGCTGTTTTTTTGACATGTGGACAACATGACGATGTCCTTTGTTAGGAGTGTTTTGATGGGGATGGGATGGTCCGTGCTAGCCGTCTTGCTGATTGCTGTGCTGGCGCAGCTCTGCCTGATGGGTATCCTTGTGAACATTCTCTGAGTCATCATCATCCTCACCGTAGCTGTCCTATCTGCCGAGGTGGGGGGACAGATAAAGCCTTCGACACTACCGTTAGATACAGAGTTGAAGAAAAAAAAGAAAAAAAGAAGAAAAAGAAAAGGAAAAAAAAAAAAGAAAAAAAGAAAGAAAAAAGAAAAAAAGAAAAAAGAAAAAAAAATGTTGATCTGTGGGATGCGTCATTTGCTTTGTGGCAATTGGATTTTATCTGTGGGATGTGTCATTTGCTTTGTTTGACTGATAGGCTTTTTTTCCCCTTTCCCTGTCAGGTTTGTTTTTTTTCCCCCCCTCCTTTTCTTTACCTCTTTTTTGCCTTTTTTTGCCTTTTGGCTGCGTGCAAGTGGGTCCTTGTGAAACACGGGGATGGATGGGGGCAGCCAGCGCTCAACCTGTCATCCACGTGGCTGGCCTTGTACGTAAGAGGTGATGAACAGGTGGCGAAAAAAAGAAAAGAAAGAAAAAATGAATTCATTTTTTAATCTTCTTCCGTACAACTCCCCCTGTTCAGAACCTCTTGCGTACAAGGCCGCCCACGTGGATGTCGGTTGAGCGGCGGCTGCCCCCACCCCCGTGTGTCATATATATATGTTCTTGTGACAATATATAGCCTGAGAGAATTTTTATCTATGTAGAGTTTTCCATCTGGTGTGGGTGAGTGATAGTCTACTTTGATTTTGGTTAAGGTAGATTATCATTTACAGTGTAATCAGTGAGGGGTCTCTGCAGACTGTTGAGGGTTCAGCCTCCTGATGAGTCGGTGAAACTCGGACGAAACAGTTTGTCACAGCCCCTCGTTTGTTGTCCTCTTCTCTCTCTCTGCCTACGGTTTACCGGGCAGTTCTGTTTGTGAATATGTATATATCTCCGAAGATTCGTCGTGCTCTTTTGTGTTCCTTTTTTTTTTCTTGGGTCTCACGTTGCTGTCAGCTCTACTAATTGATGG